TGAGCTCAATTCCGATTTTGAATCTTGGTTCTGTCACTTGTTAGAGGTGTAGCCTTGGAAAAGTCACTTCGTTCATCAAGCCATATTTTCCTCTGTAAAATGAGTCTGATAATATTTGCTTTACCTACCTCGCAGGGTTGTTGTGAGGATCAAAGGAGATGTGTATATAAAGTTTTTTGTAACTTAAAGTGCATGTAACTGTGAGCTATTTTTATTTATTGTTTTCAGAAGGTCCTTTTTCTAATGCACACAATGGCCTATGAACTGGACTAAGAATTCTGAAGAACTTAGATAACTTTCTACTTTAAAGTACAGTGAGTTTATGAGAAGAGCTAATTGTCAAGTTGGAAGTTAGGTAGAGACTTCCTAACGGGGATGATGTGTGGGAGAAAGTGAAGGTAGGAGAAAAGTATGGTGTACTAATAAGGTCTGGAGGTGGGGTAGGGAAGTGTTCCTGAATGGTGTTGATAAAAGGTGTCCAAGATGGGGACACAAAGAGCTTTGGGTAATTAAAGTTAGGACTTTCCAGCTGCTACTAGAACTCTCATGTCCAGAGGTAATGATTGATTCATTGTTCTTAACATACAATCCTTTTACTTTTTAATCATGTTACTCAACATATAGATACAGACACATGCATTTATTTTGGTTAAAAGGGCAGCAGTTATAGATATGAGTAGCTGCATGCCACTCATTTCTATTCAGGGCCTAACATTGTCCTGGAGAACAGGAAGAGTAAAAGGGAATGAAGTATTAAGAGTGTAGGAATTTTAATTCTGATAGAAATATAGGGGCAGCTAGATGGCCCAGTGGATAGAGCACTGGCCTTGAAGTCAGGAGGACCTGAGTTCAAATCCAACCTCAGACCAAACACTTGACACTTACTAGCTGTGTTACCCTGGGCAAGTCACATAACCCCAATTGCCTAAAAATTAAAAAAAAAAATAAAATAAAAAGAAATATAATAAGGGAATTTTAATACTACTAGAAATGTAAGTGCCAAAAATGAATGTTAAAAATTGTCTTTACATGTAACTGGGGAAAAGAAAATATTATTTAAAAAAAAAAGAAATGAGAGTGCCCTTCAGGGATTCATTAGTAAGTAGAAGAGGGTGGGGAAAGTATTTATTACAAACACGTTGTGTGCTAGAGAAGAGCAGAATGGAGTAAAACAGTAAGAGAAATCTGTGTACCACATATCATTTCATGGGTTCTATTTCAGTTGCTTCCCATTTGGAATAGGATGCTATATTTACATTGGTGGCCCTGAGAGAAGTGATTCTACTGCATCTATCAAGCTAAATTGCAAATTCTTATTAACCTCAAAACTCCTACCATGTTAAAATGCCCTTTCAGAAGTGTAGAAAGTACTGAATTATTTAAAATTTCAAGAGGAAAGTGGCATTTCTACCATTAAATTTAATCATGTAAAAATAAATCACTTTATTATAGAAATGAAAATATATATCTAATAAACTGAGAGTGTTATCTATGTTTCTGTTATGTCTGACAGTAAATGTCTTTGGGTCTCAAAATGCTGAATGTTCTTAACACAGTTTGAATCTCCAACTTCTTTTTTGCCAGAAGGATTGGAAATATATAGCTGCAGACAACTAATTGTAGGTTGTGTATTTTTGTAATAATATTCAACTTTGTTTTGTGTTTTGTCCACATTAAAGCAAATTATAAAACTGAAAAAAAATGCTGTATTTGACACCACTGCTATGCAATACTGTGATAATAGTGTCCAAGGTTCTTGTTAGATACAGTTCATTTTAGAAGCGCCTAATTATCTACCACAAGGATTTGCAATTCTACCAAAGAGAATGTTCATTTCTTCACTATACTCGCCTCATCTAGGACTCAATCTACATTCTCTCCTGTTAAATCTAGCACATAGTGTTCTATATTTTTGAAACATATCTAGAATCAGAATCATTGTACAACAAATATAGGCATAATTGTAACATGTATCAATGTTTAACATAGAAAACATTGAAGCAAAAGTACTGCTAATTGTGGACTGAAAAGCCATATCTTAAAAAAAATCTCAAAAATCAATTAGAGTTATGACTATTCTATACTTAAAAAAACTGCTTCATTTTATATTATCATTTTAAGTAATACCCTTACTAAATTTATGTAAAAACCTGACTTTAAATTTCAAAAGTGTTTTGAATGTACTGAGTAGTGCTCTGGTATTTCTTTTTCATGTTTCTTGGTAGAATTTTTTTTTTTTAATGGAATATCCATTTGAATAATTGGCTTATCAGAATGTACCAAGTATGTCTAGGTCTACTGGACAAGCTCATTTGTTGGACATGCCTAGTGTGTAATACTCAGTTAGCAGTTAACTGTGAAGCAGTTAACTGAGATGGCATATAAGTGGTTATAATTAGAATTTAAAGTTAACTTCCCATTAAAATGAATGGAATTGCAGGACGAGCATCTCCTTTACTGTTTTGAACAAGCTGGTTTATTGCTCAACAGAATTTGTACTGTTAAATGTTATATGTACATGTATACTACCACTTACAAAAACATGAATATATCTAGAAATATTACCTTGGGCCTGAATAAATATGTAAAAATCAAGGTTTCAAAACTAATCCTAGTAATACTACTAATTTTGAAATATGTCAAGCTTTATTTTAATTGTCTTATCTGGAAAATTGAAACAAGTTAATTCAACGAACATTTATTGAGTTCAAGTCATCATATAAGCTATTGATGGATATTCAAAGATAAATTGAATTGTCCTGCCCTCTAGAGATGACATACACATAAGTAATTACAGTGCAAAATAGAAAGTGCTAGTAAATAAGACAAGTACAAATAAAGAGTTCTGAGAGTTCAGGGGAAGAAAAATTCATTTCTGTCCCAGACGAAGTGGAGACTGGCCTTTGAAATGTCATGAAAAAACAGGTTTTTAATAGACAGTGATAGGAAGAAAGGCTTAGTAGGGAATGGTATGAATAAAAGCTTAGGTTGTGTATATGTTGAGTTGTATCTCACTCTTTGTGAGCACATTTGGGTTTTTCTTGGCAAAGATACTGAAGTGATTTGACCTTCAGCTCATTTTATGGATGAGGAAACTGAGGCAAACAGGATTAAATGACTTGCCCAGGGTCATATAGCTAGTAAATGTTTGAGGCCAGATTTGAATTCAGGAAGAGGAATCTTCCCGACTCCAGGCCTAGCACTCTTACACACTTCGAGCCTGGCTGCCCCAGGATGTGTTTAAGGAACCCTTAGTAGTCCTGTTTGGCTAGGAAAGAATTTAGAGTGCAATGAAGGGGATAAGTCGGGATAAAACTAGAAAATAGGCAGGAACCCCGTACGGAATCTAAAATGTTAGGCAAAGAATTAGGACTTTTGTTTGACAGGCAATAGAGAAACATCACAGTTTTTGTGTGTGTGTCTTTGTCATGGAGTAATAATTCAAATATTTGAATTAGAAGTCACTTTGACAGCAGTGTATAGTCTGGATTAGGACAGAGCAGGGGGAGTTACTGTAAACAAGGAGACTATCACATTAATCCAGCCAATGAGATCCTGAACTAGTGGCAGTGAAGGATCAAAAGGAGTGGATGGATGCAAAAATTGTGAGGGAATAAAATCAGTAGCAAGTGGTAGATAGTAGAATTTGGAAGTAAGGAAGAGGAGGAGTATTCAAGGGAGAGTATCAGAGATGACTCTCACTGTTTAAGCCTGGGTGTTAGAATAGTAGTGCCTTTAATAGAAATAAATAAATCAGGAGAGTAGGGGAAGCAGATTTTGGAGGGAAGATGATAACCTTGTTTTGAATGTGTTGCATTGGAGATGATGATAAAACATCCACAAAGAGATATCTAGCAGGCTTGAAATTTTGAAGTTATCCACAGAGGTGATAGTTGAGTGGTAAGATTGCAAAAGAATGGAATGCAGATAAGTGGTGAAGGTGAAGGACTGATCCTCACAGAATGTCTACAATTTAGGGTTAGGAGGAAAAAGAGGAGCCACTGAATAAGTAGAGGAAAAAGAATCAAAGAAATAGGCAAACCAGGAACATACAGTATCATGGAAGCCAATATCTACTACTGTGCTAGTTAGTGTTTATAGATTTTAGCAGAGTAAAATATATAGTAATAGATTTTATGAACCTTGACTCAAAATGACTTTATTTTCAAAATTTCCAATTTATGAGGTTTAACTTCGCTGTATTTCATCCACTAGAAATAATGTTTTAATGGAAGAATGGTTTCTAGGACACAGTGAAAATTCAGGATGCATTACATTTAATTTACTGGTTTAGGTGGTTGGAAAGGTATGACTATTAGAAGTATACTGCAGATAGCATTCTGCACTCATGAGATTCTAATCTTTGGTGTCCCTCTAGCATTTGAAACTCATCATGTCTAAAATTGAACTCATCATTTTCACCCTAGATCTGCTTCTTCCCCTAACTTCTCTGTTTTTATTCATGGCGTCACTGTCTTCCTTTCCCTCCCCCCACACATCCAAGTCTTCTCATCTATACCTGTACAGTTTTGGGGGGGTTTTTTTGGCACCTCTCCACTTCCCGTTTCAGTCAGCCTAGTTCAGGCTCTTACCTGTTATCAACTAGCCTGCTGTAATAACCTCCTCATTGATCTTCCTGCCTCCAATCTCTTCTCTCCCAAGTACATCAACAAACAACCTGGACCTCTTTTCAGAATAATAAGTTTGCTGCCTACACTTATAATAGAAGAAAATGCCAGATTTCAATTTGAGGTAGTGAAAAAAAGACAGTTTTTTCCCATTCAAGTTCATGGACTCCCTGAAATCAATCCAGGGACCCCTTAGGTCTGTTGACTCCAGGTTGAGAACCTCAGTCACTTTTTTTTGTTTTGTTTTGTTTTGTTTTTTAGGCAATTGGGGTTAAGTGACTTACTCAGGGTCACACAGCTAGTAAGTATCAAGTGTCTGGTCTGAGACCGGATTTGAACTCAGGTCCTCCTGACTTCAGGGCCGGTGCTCTATCCACTGCCCCCTCAGTCACTTTTAATGTCTTCTTGTTGCCAAACAAATACAATATAAATTCCTAATCCTGGTATTAAAATCCTTCCACAATCTGGCAATAACCTAGCTGTTAAGCTTCCTTTCATCCTACATTCCTGCTTGTATTCTGTGTTTCAAATGCACTAGACTACTCTCCACTGCCCTTTTATATCTTTCCTCTTATCCATGTTGCCTTGTACTATGCTCCATACCTGGAATAGCCACTTCCCATCTATTGATGTGTTCCTTATTTCATGCCCAATTTAGATTCTTCCTCCAAAATGAAACTTTCCCTGATCGTCTCCTCCAAATGATCTCAGTCTCTTACAGCACTTTGTTTAGAACTCTACTTTGCACTTATGTCACTTTCTCCTGTTATTATAGGATTTCATTATTTGTGTACTCATCCATTAGAGTATAAGCTTTTAGAAAGCAGAGTCTGTGTCATACCTTTCTTTATTTCCCCACACACCTGAATGCCTCAAATACAGTAAGTAGGCTCTTAATAAATATTAGTCAAATTGAATTCAAATTGCAAAGGACATAAATGTCTTTCATAGTGTCTTTAAATTAGTGACCTAAGTAACTCTGGAGCCTGCCTTATAGCTGTTATGGACTTTATGTCTTAGTTTTAGTTCTCACATTGATCTGTCACAGGATTGGTCATCACAGTGATCTGAGCAAATGGACCAGGGTGGCAAGCAGTTAAGAAGGGGAGAAAGAAGAAACAGCAATTTTCCAGCAGCAAGGAAGGGGAAAGAGTGAGAAGAAAGATCTTACATTCCCTTCCTAGGAACAAATGACAATAAGAAAAGAGATAATTTTAAAATACAATCACGTGGGAATGGTGGGATTTTTTGACATTCTGCTGTCCTATTAAAAATAATAGTGTATCAGAAATATGCATACATTTGCTCAAAGCATCAGGATTAGAATACAATATTAAGACATCATGTCATAACTTTGAATGTAATTGATAATGAAATAAATAGCTTTCCAAGTCTGTTCTAGTTTGTTGTTTTCTTTTTCAAGAAAAAAGTCATAAATCCTACCCACTTTTGAAATTCAGTGTGGAAAAACTTAACCTATTTGATGTATTTTAGTCCTTTTTAAAAATGTTTCTTTAAAATATCTCACTTTAAAAGCTATTTACTATTGTTTAAAATCAATTATCTAAGAATTCTAAACTTTTACTTAAAAAGTACCTAAGTATGCATTTCATAAAATGGAGTACTGTTGTGGGGAGGAATTTGTTAAAATGCCCACTTGGTACTTAGTTTCAGATATCAAGATGGATCAGGAAGGTTTAGGAAAAGCATAGCGGCCTTTGCTGTACCTCTTAATCTTTAACAGAATCTTGCTTAAAGTCTGAGGCTGAGATTTTTACTACAGTAGTGGTTACAAACAGGTTATTGGGAAATACATTGTATTTTTTAAATTTTAGGTCTTTCCTTTTGGGGGGAGCATTTCAACAGTTTGTCATAATTATAAGATAATATTGTTTTAACATCTTTCAGAAAAAAAGACTGGTGGTAAAACTTCTGTAGACATGGCTAGTTCTGACATGAAACCAAAATCAATAAGTCGTGCCAAAAAATGGTCAGATGAAATAGAGAATCTGTACAGATTTCAGCAAGCAGGATATCGGGACGAAATTGAATATAAACAAGTGAAGCAAGTCGCTATGGTAAGGTAGATTGTAGAAGCAGAATAATTTTCCTTTATCAGAATAGTTATCTCCTATTCAAGAAGCAATATATTATGTTTCTCTATTATTGCTGTTCTTTCTGGCATTTGAAGGGGTTGGAGGACAGGGATGAGGGGATGGAGTTCCAGCCTTGAATTTGACAGGTTTTTTTCTTTTAAGGAATTTAAGTTAGCATTTATGAAAAAGTTGATCTAGGCAACTAGGTATTGCAGTGGATACGGTATTGGGTTTGAAGTCAGAAAGACTTGAGTTTGATTCTTTCCTTGAATGCTTACTAGCTGTGTGCCTCTGAGCAGTCATTTAACCTCTGTCTCTCAGTTTTCCCATTGGTAAAATGGGGATAATAATGGCATCCATCTCATATTTGATCCTCACAGGAAGCTGTGAGGATCAAATGAGCTAACATTTGTAAAGCACTTTGTAAAACTTAAAAGTATAAAAAATACTAGCTATTACTCTTAATGTTTGGAATATAACTTACTAATAATGAGCATTAGCCACGTTCAGCCTTAATGAAATTCATATTGGTTAGGCATTTGAAATTTTTCTTTGTCATGATGCTTTGGAGTTATAAATGCTTTGAATTTTTTATATAGATATAACTATATACAAAGTGCCCAGTTAATTCAGGTTTATTATCTACTTTATGAATCCTCAGTATCTTTAGATTCTCATTTTTCTCTTCTATCCAGCTGGATAGCTTTTCTTATTAGTTCTTGGCACTTCTACAAAAAAAGGGGGTGGAAAAATGAAAGATGAAAAAAAATCTCTGGCTACTTATTAGTAACTGTGATTTTTAAAAAAAAAAACCTTGGAAATGAGTTTAAAATTATTGATCCTAATTGAATTATATATGATTTTTATTTGTCAGCCTTATCACAAATATTTGAAGTTTACTATATTCCTATAACCACAGGAAGGGTTTTTAGGGTTTTTTGGTATTATAATAGGTTTGAAATATATAGAATAGGAGCAATATTATTTGAAGAAGGCTAAAATAAGCCCCAACCCTTCACCTACAGGCAGGGCTGTCCCCAAGGGTCTCTTTTAGCAGTGAATATTTGCACACTGAGTCCTTACCTTTCGATCAGTCAGTCAGCAAGGATTTATTACATTTTTATACAGGCAAAACCAGAACTCTATTGCTTAATCATGGAATGGAGGAGAGACCCTTTATTGTTGAAAGTTATTCATGTCAGCAGAGATCGAGCTCTAGCAAGTCCTTCCAAGCTGAAAGTCTTCAAGTATGGCCTGGGGAGAACTAGTCTAGCTAAGTACGTTAGGAGAAGCGCATCTGTAGCAACTCAAAAAGGCTTAACATTAACATTGTGTCAATTAAAAAAGGTACCCATTCTGATGATTTAAGTATTAAATTAAGGCTGTACATCAAAATGAACAATAAGGGCAATTTTAAAAGAGAAAAGGAGTCACGAAAGTATACCCCGAGAAATGTATGAAGAGAAGGAGAAAAGCAACCTTAACCGGTGTTGTTTAAGTATTGGTGGGGTTGTGGGATGATATATAAGCCTCAGGTTTGGTTTTGTTTTTAATGGTTGGTGGGACCACCTCCTCCCCTGCTAGGACCTCTCAGAATTTATCCAGAAATGTGGTGCCCAAAAGCTTAGGTGTGGAGGTAGACTCATTTATCTTTTCCTTAGGCATGGCTTTGCCCAAAGGTAACATCTTGTAGAGGTGATGCTGATGAGGCTACAATGTAGCTTGGATTTAGAGCATTGGATTTAGAGAACCTGAATTCAGATCCCAAGTAACTAAGATCTTATTGCAGTATCACCTTAGGTAAATCACTTAATATATGTAGGCATCAGTTTCTTACTGGCAAATGGAATTGAACTAAATTATTTTTAAAGTCCTTTTCTGCTCTAAACTGTATTACCTGAAGGGATGAGAAATTTGAATTTCCTTGAATATGTTCTGTATCTTGACCATTGTCTAGAAATTCTAACGTGGTTCTAGGAAGAAATGATAAAATGAGTAAGTTTTATATTTGTTGTTCCAGTCATTTATCTGAAAGTCTGTATATAACTTTGTTCAAGAATAAAAGTTTTATACAAGTTAAATACTTTAATTTTTTTATTTTGAACTATCAATATAAAATACCAAGAATTCTTTTACATTTAAGTACTTCATAAATATTGTAATATTTGTTTATTTTCTGTGTGTGTGCAGGTAGATCGTTGGCCAGAGACAGGCTATGTGAAGAAACTTCAGAGAAGAGATAATACTTTCTATTACTACAATAAACAGAGGGAATGTGAAGACAAGGAGGTTCATAAAGTAAAAATTTATGCTTATTAGCATTTCTTCCTTGTGTGAATTGTTATTTATTTTAAAAAAAACCCTGAGTTTCATGAAATAACATGTAAAATGTATGTCACATCACCAACTGTACTCTTCACCTTAATGCTTTGTAACATAAAAATAATGAAACTAGCTTTCTTTTAAGCCACCTTGCCCCATAGTTTAAAGTATCTGATAGATAAATGATTAAATAAAATGTCATCTTATAAAAATAAATCAGGGGGAAATTGGTTATTTCTCTATTTTTGGGATTGAGTTAAAAAGCAAATAACTTATTTTTTCAGGGATGTTGTAATATTAAATCAGCCTCATTTATGTTAGAAGGAATCATGCTTTTGAATCATGTCTGACATTGCATAGAATTTACTTAAGTTTTTGAGTGACTGCAAATAAAATTTTACTAAGGTGATTTTTAAAAGATGATATAAACCTTGTCATTAGCATCACTCCACCTAGCACAGTACTTTTTGCCTTTTCTTCAAATTCATCAAGGCATGAATAGCAGACTCTATAGGGCAAAGAAGGGGAAAAAATTTCCAGCTTACCAGATTATCTGAGGAAACCAGACATAAACCTGACAACTTCAGATATTCAACATAGCCAAGTTGCCGAAAAGCAATTGAGTCAGCTTAAATGGCAGTGGATAGAACACCGGGCCTGGAGTCAGGAAGACCTGAGTTCAGATCCAGTCTTAGATACCTACTAGCTGTGTGACCCTGGGCAAGTCACTCTGTTTTCCTCAGGTCCCTCATCTTTAAAATGAGGATAATAATAGCACTTACCTTGCAGAGTTGTTGTGAGGCTCAAATGAGATCATTGTAAAGTACTTGGCACACATAGTGAGTGCTATATAAATGTTCGTTATTATTATTATCATTATCTGAGGGGATTTATGTAGGAGCCAAGCTTCATCAAAGAATAATCATTACACAGTTTTGTCTAGTGATTCAGTTTAGTTATACCAGGCCCTTCTTCCCCGACTTCACCTGCCACTACCTTACCCTGAGAGAGGAGACAGAAATATTTAGAATCAATGATGGATTCATGAGAGCAGCCTCTGACCAACAAGAGGAATTCTGCTTGTTTAGCTGACTTACTCATTCAACCTCCTTGTTTAGCTGACTTACTCATGACTGGAGTATTTAAAATACCTGGGATCTTAAATTGGTGTATTTGTAAAAGGATACAGCCCCTGTTGTCTACCTCTTGTTTTAAACCCTCCCACCCACCACTCTT